TATTATAATTGTACAATGTCTACTTCCCCATCCATTAACTATTATATATAATAATAATAGTATTTAATTATTAAACACAACCCCAGGATGTCAAAAAAATAGAAAATCCAATACACAACTAAAATAGTAAAAATATAGTATTTTAATTATGAAAATAATATATCTAAATTAGAAGATAGATTGAACCGCCCGAACGAGTGGTAAAATAAGCGAGTATTTTAAAGGGGCAAGAGTTCATCTGAAAACTTCGAAAAAGCCCGCCGAACAGTGTGAATAAGCAAAAGTATTCTTAAAATTTCCACGACTGGGGAAAAGTCCATCAACTAAAAAAGTATCCAAGAACTTTAAAATTGTAAATGGGGAACAAATTCATTGAACAAATGTCACGCTTTCCAGTCACCCAACGGGTTTCTGTTGTTGTTCTTTTCCTCGCGTTGTTGGTCCAAATAGCAACCGTCATGTATTTCCGGTTCTCGCCCGTTTTGAAGACAAGCGACTCGTATTCGTCGTTTGAAGAAGCCGTTGGGAATGTCACTGATATTCCCGCGACATACGTCGAGGCTCATACTGAACCCGAATTTCCGAAATATGCACGCGTCGCGCATAACGAGCCGCGTTATTACCAAATGGAGAGAGGGACTTGCTGGGATTTTGCATTGATTGGATTTTTACAATCGAATTATCGACAAAATGGTATTGAAAAAGGGTTGATGTCTGAGGATCAATACACGTTGTTGTCTACACAAGCTATGGGTATTAAAATGGTCGACCACTGTGTCGAACACCCCGATGTGTGTAACACACCAGGCGATTCGTTGTTGAGCAATAGCACTTCCGGTGGTGAAATCAACTGGTTTTATTCATTCCCAGGCTTGTATAAGGAAACCGTCCCCGACTCTGTGTGCCCATATTTGCCGACAGACAGCGAAGAATGGATTTGCGATAACTTGGAGAGTGCAATTAAGTCAAATCCTGTGAGGTTTGATGTCACTAAAATGAACGTCGCGACGACGGTGGAGGACGTCAAAAAGCTGTTTGTCCAAAAAGGGAACAGAGCACTTGCTTGGACTTCATTGATTCATGACGATGTAGAATACTTCCCATGCACGCAATATCCCGATTTGTGTAATGTTGGTGTGTATGATGTTGTAGCGTGCCCACCAGAGATAGCGAGCGGAGACTGTGCCAAATTAGTCTTGCCGATGTATACACCTGATGGTGAGTTTGATAGACATGGCGAAATGACAATGGCGGGCGGTCATGGGATGGTCATGGAAGCATTCACTGACGAGTTTGTGACTAAAGCCGGACATAAAGGAGGATTTGTGTTAAAGAATTCGTGGAATGATACTGCTTATGGAGATAGACCAATGGGGTCTGCCAGAGGTATTCGAGGAAGTCATTCTATTGAGTATTACTTGGGACAAATTTCATACGAAGAAGAGATGACACTTTGCCCTAACCCACAAGACCCATTGAATTGGGAAGTGTGCACTGAAGCGTGTGGGAAGAGCACTGAAATATCCAAAAAGATCATGGAGTTTGAACATAAACCATTTGAATACCAATGCGTTGATGAACACGTTTGTACTAAAGATCCAGTGTACAGATACTTCTTGAGGGAATTGAAACCAGCATCGAGAAAACCAAGCGGAAGATACTTTGATTTTACTATGATCAAATATAACACATTGGATGATACATTTGTCGACTTGACGTGGAAGGCTTTACCAACACAAGTTATTGGGTTATATTTCACTCGTTTGTTTTTCTATATGTATGTACTGAGGTCAATGATGATACTTATCAATAGCGATTGAGAGCCAATTAAAAGATCTTGTCGCAAATAAGGAATATTGTGGATACTACTTCTTCCCGTATGATATCGTTGAACAACAAATTTCATATTATGGTGGATTTAATTGTATCTACTACGACATCAATTGGGAAGAATCGAGTTACTTGAGCAAGAAAGACAATCATAAGGAATTTGACTATACGTATCTCGACAAATCAACCACTAAACAACACTTGGACACTGCTACGTTCTACGCGTCTAATCCGTATATCAATAAGAGATACAGTGATTAATTCTTTTTGCCTCGTTTTTAGTTGTTTTTACTGGAGTCTTGTTCTTTAATTTAAGTCTGAAATAATTATTAACTTTAATTTAGATTCCACTATTTTCAATTAATTTATTTAACAATATTTTAGTTTACTTTAAATTAAAAAAAATTTACAATAATTATTTGTTTTAGTTTTTATAATAAATATTTCATCTTTTGTATTAATAATTAATTTATTAATTTATGTATCACTAAAATAATATTTTAAATTATACCTTTTTAATTTTTATGAATTAAAAATTCCCAGATTAGTAAAATAATTTTATGATTTTTTCGAATCTCTTTTTGATTGCAAACATCACATCAAAAAAATGTTAAATTTTCTATAACGGATCTTTTTAAATTATATAGTATAGTTTAATAATTATAATTATACTATTATAAACAAACAAAATAAGTATTAACGAAAAATTAATTGTTTCTGCATAACATTTGGTTTTTTCTCTTTTTTCTTCTTTATTTATTTATAGTACAAAAGAAGACTTAAAATAAAGTTACTCAAGAAACTATAAAAATGCCATGCAGAATTAAAATTGAGAATAATAATCATTAAACTAGATAAAAACCATTTGAGGTATTAAACTAGAACATAAGAAGGTACAATATGTATTTATCTTCCTCTTTAATTTTAATAAGATTATGTGTGTTTCAGAAAAAACTCGAAAAGCAAAAGACGAACGGATGGAGGAACACTTCGGGAGTATGACGGAGAGCGAGACGGCAGTTGACGACGATGAAATCGACTCGCTCATCCAGACTGTCTTTTCCGACACTCAGCCGCCTCAGCATTTTACAACAGAGGACTTCATCGACTCGAACACACAAACCGCACGGATAGAAGGCAAAATGTACTCCTTGAAAGACACCGTCAACGTCATTTCGCAGTCGTTCCCAACATTCACACAACCCCAGAACCACTTCGATTTTTCTCTGATGGATATCTTAACACAAAACATATTGACACCATACTTGGCACAACTACCACAGACGACTATGGCGTTTGAAGCTTCCAAATCCCTTTTCCCAAATAGTTACTTGGACCAATTTGTTGCCGCTCGGTACTCTCTTTCGTGTTATTTTAAGGCAATGCAGTTGTTCTCAAAGTCCTTGTTGGAGTGTGGGCAATGCTCGAATGAAAAATTTAGAGTGATTTTCTGTGTGATCAATGGTGGGAAGATTCAAGACTTCTTGGCAAAGACACAATGCCTCTTTAAAACAGTTATTAAGACACCAACCCTAGTTTTGCATGGGATGTACCCTGGAGACGTTATTGTATTTGCGGATGTCATGGAAAATAAGGAGATGAAAGTGTACGCATGGGGATCTGTAGAGCAGTCTCCGAGTGTAAATAACCCCGCTGCGTTCGAGTTGAACTTTTCAGTTCGGGACTTTAGTGCGATCAACGAGTTTTCTTTGAGATGCGAGGAGTACTCTGTTTTGTGCGAGAGCGACGGTCTTTCCTTTCTTCTTTCAAACAACAAAACCATTGCAGAGACTGTCTTTGCGTATTTGATGAGCGAGTTAGTCAAGAAGGAGCGCGACACTTTCAGTTTTGTGACTACCATAGTCGAGCCACAATTTTGCACGTTGTGTCGGAATGAGTTAAAGTATCAAAGAAGTACTTGTAGGCACTGTCCGGGATGCGACGACTATTTTCATGAGAAGTGTTTGTCTGAAGAGAATAGTATGTATTGCTGTTCGGACTGTTATTCAAACTCGTTTGTTCGGTGTGAAGCGTCTGGAACGCTATATCCGTTCCAGCGGTTGAAAAGATGTTTGTTGTGTCGATCGAAGTTTGTATGTCAAAAGGAAATCGAGCTTCGAGGAGTTACGATGTTCTGTTGTCGTGAGTGTCGAGGGAAGTACCAATCTGCTGTGTCAAACTTTTACATGGAAAAATGCTACTCAGTTGCAGCACAGAAAATGAGCGAGATGTACCACGCGTTTCCGGAGATAAAGGACAACCCCAACTTCTTCTTGGCTATGCTCTTTGTTGTGCGAGAGGATATCAAAAAAGGAAGTTCGTAAACTTTGTGGTGTGATGGTTTCCGGTATTTGAAGGCGTACTCTCAAATTTAGAATACGGGAAGGTTTGTTTAATTAATTTCTAGTTGAAAATTGGTTACTTTTAATTATGAAGTGCTCTATTTTTGTAATAGACGAATTTGGTGCGGAACTGTGAGAATTGTGGAGTTGTCGTATTACGTCTCAAATACGTTTGATAACAATATAATAAAAGTAAATTATAAGTACCATTGGAGGATGATAATATTTTCGAAGTTAAAAGTCGTTGGTATGACAGAGCCAGTGAATATAGTGGATGGGTATTCGGTGTTATAATAAAACGGGAAATCGGTGTTAATTGTCGATCCATTAAGTTTGAGGTCGTAGACATAACACATTGAGATCAGAGAGTTTGGGTTGTCATCGGAATAAAGCACTAAGTAGTCGTCCATGTTTTTGGTCACAAACCTTGTTGGTGGGATATTGTATGGGTTAGTAATAGTAAAGAGGAAATACCCCCCTCTTTGGATGTGTCGATCATAAAATTTCAATGGTTTCTTTTTAATTGGGTTTTGGTGATAAGAACCAAAAACGTTCCCATCAGTTGTTGTGATGACAATAGTTATATCGGACTTCCCTTCTATTTTAGAATTGATTTGTCTTGCTGATACCTCTTCTTCTTCTGAAGAATAGACGACTTTATAATTAGGGAAATGTAACCATTGTTTCAACACTTCAATAGTATTATATTTGAGTGGTTGTGCCATAACCAAATTAAATATAAAAGTTCATTTGATAATTTTATAGAAAACTGTATATACCATATGAAAGTATTCGTTATATTCTTTTCATTCCTTTTCTTATTCATTTCGGGAAAAATCGTCGACTTCATCCAAATTGCCGACGTCCATTACGACAAGTTCATGGACTGTTCTCTTTATGACGACACAACAAACTGTCGCACTAACCCTTTTGTCACATTTTCATCAACAAACAGATTCTATCATAAATATAAGACCAACCCTATGTATAACCCTATGTTCGGACGATACTTCTGCGACTCCAATAAGAATTTGTTCCTCGAATCTGTTCAACAAGCATTCAGAGTATCCCCACATCCAAAATTTATCATTTTGAGTGGCGACTTACCTGCACATGCCCCTGGAGAGTATTTTCAAGACACTATGAAAGAAGGTGTCAATATAGTTCAAAGGAGATTCCCAGGTGTTCCAATTGTATTTTGCTTGGGTAATAACGAAGTTGAACCTGCGTATATCACTTCGTGTGATGATAAAAGATATGAAAAGTACTTCCAATTTTTAAATACCACGTATATCCCATGTTTGTTCTCTAAATCATATCAATCTATTATTACACAATTCAGTAGTTAGTTGAATAGTATTATTATAATAACAGGTGTTATATATGAAACTAAAAATAACATAAAGTAAGTGAAAAAGAATCTTTTGTGAGGCACGCCAGTTACGTAAGACACTTGAACCATTTACAACTGACTGTTGTGATGATAAACACTTTACTTTATAGTCCAAGATATAAAGGTGAAGACTGTGGATCGTTGGAGCACATTCGAGAAGGAATAAACCATGCTCGTGCTTTAGGTAATTCAGTGCTTGTGGTTGGGCACTTCCCAATTGGAGTTTCTGCATTTGATTGTCGGAGTTATATGGAAAAGAGTATTCAAGACAGACTCTTTAATATTCTGCAAGCAAATGAAGACATCATAATTGGTAACATTTTTGGGCACTGTCATAGAGATGAAATTAAAGTGGTCAACGGGGTTACTGCGATGACGAGCATCTCTGTTTCACCATTTCTTGGAAATGCACCAGGAATAAGAGTTTATAGTTATGATATTAATAAAAGGAAACTATATGATTACGTTGACTACTTCATGTATTTTGTCAAGTCCTCATTGAAAGAAAAAGGTATATGGACGGCTGGATTCTCTTTCAAACAACTGTACGGTGTCGAAGATGCCTCTCCGAATTCTATTAAAGAAGCTTTGAAACACATTAAAAGAGACCATCTTTTGTACTTAAATTATTCAATGTTCACCAACGGACTCTTTGATCCAGATTTCAAGAACACACTCTGTAGAATCACTTCCAACAACATAGAAGAGGGTCTTAAATGTCAACAGTCGTTGCTTTAATTGATTGTGTTTTTATCTCATTTCTGTAATAACATTTTTGTGGTTAAAAATGTTATTGAACAAACTGGAAATATGTAATTGAAAAGGGCTGATGAGTCGCTTGGAGGGAAATATTATTGCAGAAGAAAGGGAAATGAAATTTGTGGTTGTAGGAGATGACTCCAGCGGGAAGACTTCGTTCATCAACGCATGTGTTGGAGAAGCATTTTCCGTTCCAAATCGGACACAGTTGATCGACTACAAAAGCGTCTCTTTCAAGTGGGGAAACAAAATCCTTCGCATGAACTTCGTTTGTTTAATCATCGATTTTGCTCATAGCGGGACGTTCTATTTTCAAAATTCTATTTGTATTATTCTATTAATAGATTATCAACCAAATAAAAAAAACAATTATAAAAGTACTATAAAATAAACTATAACCCTTGTCGACTTGACTGACATCAAAGTGGGATACTCCAAGGCTGATGAATGGGTTTGGACCAACACCATATTACAGAGGAGCAGATGGGATATTTTTGATTGTCGACGGGACTACTGTATTTGATGAGAGAAAGACTAACGATATAATCAACTCAATAAGAAGAGATAACCCAAACCCAATGCTACCAATCGCTGTTGTTGTCACTAAACTTGACCTGAAGCCAAGTAAAAGAAGCTGCGTGGACTACGCACTCAGATGTAAGTTCCCCACTTATCATATATCAGCAAAAAATAACGTGGGCATCGACGAGACGCTCCTCTCATTCGTCGAACTGTCACTGAAAAAATCATTTGAACAACCAGTGGATGTTGCACAAACTAAAAACAAAGAAAGATGTCAGTAATTTGTTGTATTTCTTATTTGTGTGGATCGATTTTGTGAATCTAAAATTTAGATTATGAATATAGTAATTTTATCGTTTAATCAAACTATTTATATAATTATTTATGTATAAATCAATTGTTTAAAATTTTAATAATTATTTATTATATAGTAAATTAAATTTTATAATATACTATAATGTAATTATATTACATTATTCATTTTTTTCATCACAAAAAATAAATTGTTCAAAAAATATTATTCAATTGTTTTTATATTCCTGGTAAATTAAAAATTAAAATAGTTTGTTATAGTTTGATTTATGAGGTTATATATTTTTTTTTAATTATTCAAAACTCATTCTATCCTCAAACTATTTTATTGGTTAATTTATACAATATTTTTATTAAATCGTATTTGTCAATTGTCATTTTTTCAATCTTTTCCCTCAAAAATCTGGAGATTATAATTATAATGCGTCATTATGTCTTTCTTAATAGTTTAGAAACTATAACATCAACCATCTTTCGTTTTTATGAGTTTATTAAACCCTAAAATAGTTTCATCATAATTCTTCTCATTTTCAAAATTATAATATCTAAAACACAAACTATACATTATAGTATAAAGAAAATAAAAAAAGAAAAAGTCAAAAACCCCCAATTTCATTTCGAAAAAACGCTTTTTTCAACTTAAAAAGGAAAGTCATCTAAGAAAGTTGAAAGCTCTTTCGGTTTAATATCAAGACCTTATGAATTCTGAATCAAGAAAGCCGTTCAAGAGAAGTCACGCCAGGAAACCAACATCCTCAGCCGACTTCTATGCCATTTATTACAAGCCGTCTGTCCCACTTGTTGTTAACAGGGATAGCGCGTTTTTAACTTTTAGTGAGCCCGTTACTGCCAAGCCCATGTCTTGTCCAAAACGTTCTTTAAAGTACATGCTCCCTAGTGTCTTTACTGTTTCTTATTAAGACATTACTCCCTTCACTTTTTATGTTATTAACATTTTATATTAATGTTATTATTATTATTTTCTAGTAATGTGTTATTAATATATTACTATATATTAATGGTAAAATTATTTATTAATATAAGATATTAGATATATCTTATATTAACATAAGAAATTGTTGTATTAATAACAATAACAAAATGTAATATAAAATTTAATAATATAACATGTGACGTTTTTAAAAGGAACTTCATTGTGTGAGAGAAACATTAGAATGAACCACTTGTTTGTCTGTGTTGGTGATATCAAAAACAGGCTGTGTACACTTGATTGAACTGATGACAACAGATGCACGATCCTCGTTCATCCCTATCTTTTGTAAAAAAAGAACACACCGTTCTGGGTGCTCTTTCTCGAACCGTAAAGTCTCTTGCATTAACCAGTAATTTCGGATGTTGTGTACGACATGAGTAAATTGTTTTGATATCAACGGTTGGTTTGGTTCGATTTTAATAGTATTTAAAGCAAAACTTTGAACATTAACAGTTGAAGCGGAAATGATACCATTAATGTATTCATAAATCACTCCACCGATTCTCATCACATCATCTTTGGTATATTTCACATCACCTATTGTGACCGATACAAACTTCTCCATCTTTATAGTCAACATCGATTTCTTAGTCCGTTTCGTCTCGAAGACTACACGCTCATCAAAGCTCGAACATATTTGAATCAAGTAATTGTATATCACCGCAAACACATTCTTCCGGTGATAGCGCTCGTTATAACTTTGACTCACTTCATTGTTCTGACACTTCTCCTCTTCCACTGATATCATTGCCAAAAACTCCGCGTGTGTCTTTTCAACACTCCCATAAATGCTGGTGATTTCAATGTACTGCAAAGACTTCTCGGCGCGCTTCGCGCGCCGCGCTAACATAAAACCAACGCCTTTCACGTTCAAATAGCCAATCAAGAACGCAAGGCGCATACACTCCTCAGACATCCCTTTTTGTTTGGCGTGAGTATTTAAGACACGCCTCCGCTTGACGTCATCGTTCACGGGTTGAGTAAGTTTCCTCTTTGAGTTAAGAGAACTGAAGGGCTGTGATGGAATACCAGTTGGTAGTGAAGACAAATTGACACAAGAAAAGTCCTCGAATTCTTTCGGTGAAGTCATGTCTTATTAAAATTAAGAGTTTTCAATTAAAACTTTTCAGTTCAAAAAATTGGGTGAAATATCCTATTTTTGAAATACATCATCAAAAACCTAATTATTAGTTCATAGCATTTTTTAATATAAATATACTTCAATTTCGGGAATGTGGTGTTTTTTGATAGGTATTTTTATTTATAATTTAATTAATAATTTTTATGTATCTAGAATGAAATTATTATGATTGTTAAATTGAATTAAATAAAAAATGTGATTTGAAAAAAAAGAAAAATTCATTTTTTCTGGTTCAAACATCACAAGTCAAAATCAACAAAGTTTAATATCAAATATAATTTGTTATTAATAAAAATTGGTTTATGTTTTTTTTTGGTTTTAAATTTGATTGTGAAGTCTTTTCGATTCTTCCAAAACTCAAATAAATTCAACTTTGCTTCAAATAATATTTAAATAATAATATTTTTTAACTTGTATTTTTATGTTATTAATAATTAATAATTATAATAATGAAAATATAATGATGTTATTATGAAGGATAAAATAAAACTTAAATTTTATTTTTAATTGAATACTATTTAGCATTCCAATAAATGTTTTAAATGATTAGAAAACAACACTACACCTTCATATATATATTATTAATAGACATAAGCAAGAAAGTGATCAAATTACATTAAAAGTGTTTAATAATGAGATAAATAATCAAATACAGTCTGTCTTTTAACATTATCTGGTCTCAAACGTTATCTGGTGCCTTTTGGACCATAAAAATGGGAATAATTCGGGAAGCAGTCCCAAAAACCCATCCCAATTGTTTCGGGTTTTTTCACGTTTTACCTAATGCCCGATGTTTAGACAAAAATGAATCTATTTTTTGTCCACCAGATAACGTTAAAAGACTGACTCTATATAATGCTTTTCATTTGTTCAATTATCTCCGTTTATGTATTTGTTATCGTATTAACTTTAAAGGTCTTGAATTCAATTGAAAAATCTAAACACCTTAACAATGTAATTACAATTCATCCAATTTTTTAAAATTCAATTATATACGATATGTGTATTACAAGTATTTAATCTTTTGATTTAAATAGTGACTCAACAAAATAATAATACCAACTAATATTTGAATAATTGAATTTTTTCAATTTAATAGCAAGCCAATAACACAAAAAGGGTTTTTTAAAACAAATAAAGCACTATGTCATTTGAATTGGTGAACAACCTTTCCGATCTTAAGGGTGTTGTGTTACTTAAAAACAAAACATTGTTCACTATAACCAAAAGCAGTGTGACACCGTCTGAAATAGATTCACTTATTACACTCATTACCGACTCCCCAGACTCCGACATTATTGAAAAAACAGTTTCTTCGATTAAATATAATAAAAAAATTAGTAAAGACAATGCAACTACCGATTACGAAGTGAATGTTATGACAATCCATACACCACAAGAACTTAACAAATATAAAGCTCAGACTTACCACATGTTCACAGAAACTCGTGAGATGTATGAACAAATCATGTTACCTCAGATCAAGAAAATTCCTTCATCAGTCACCCAGTGGATAGACAACTATGGCTCTTTAAAATCGACTCCACTCTATACCCAAGATGACTTTTTCCTAGTCCCAGATGTAAAGTGGAATATGAAAGACTTGACCCAATTCTATGCAATCTGTTTTTCAAGAGACAGTTCGATTCTTTCTATTCGTTCACTCCGCCAACAACACGTCCCTTTCCTCAAAAAACTCAAAACAGAAGTCCTCGAATTTATACATAACACTTACGGACTTGAAAAGGACGAAATAGTGGTTTACTGCCATTACCATCCTTCGTTCTGGCACTTTCATGTTCACTTCACAAACATAGCGTTTCCTTCACTCACAAGAAATAACGTCATTGGAAAAGCCGTGTTGCTTGACACAATCATTCAAAATTTACAGATATGCGACTCTTATTATCAAAATGCAGATTTGCAAATAACTTTAGGAACATCAAGTCACCTGTATGAACTCTACTCAAATTATGTGCCACAAACAAAGCATTAAGTATTTTAATAAGTCATCGTTAATAATTTAACTATACTTTAGTAGTTACTTCTCAATGTTACTGTATTAAATTTAACTACAACTAAGTTATTACTTATAATACATATTATATTTTATTAAAGAGCAAAACTCCAGTCTTGGATTGTGAGTGGTTGCTGACATTCTAATATGAGCTGTCTTGCGAGCAAATAAGTTCTGCATTGTTCAGGTCCATTCCAATAAATTGCACTAATGAGTCGTTTGTTTCATTTTGATTTCCATTAAAAATGGTATAGTCTTGGCTTTCTTGTGTTGAGACGTTTGGTAAGTCCTTTTTGGTGCATATCCACAAATGTCAGTGCCTTTTGTGTCGATTCGTTCTCATCAACGTCAATCGCTACATCGTCTGAAATAACGATTGGATTGTTCAGACTTGTTTGTTCATTGATTTCGTCGACGTCTATAATGGGGTGTTTTTGTCTGATGACAAGAGGATATGGCCGAATGATTATCTCACTCTCTGAAAGTTCATACGTTTCATTTTCTCGTTGTTCAATTTGAGATGTTTGGCTGTCTGTCGTTCGCTCTTCGTTCTCCTTGTCGTTCATCTCTTTTCTTAAAAGAAATTATTTAGTTAATACTAAAATATTATAGTTATTATTAACAAACAATACTCAAACTATTGATAAACTATTAATTAATGGTTTGTGCTTTAAAAAACATCTATAAGAAGTGAAGTCTTCTACCTATAAATAGAAAATTGATTTAATAACAATAAACTATAAATTTATAGTTTAACAACTTGTCCAGCATTCTTCTCTTTGGCCACAATATATAAATCGTTTGCAACAACAATGTCATACAAGGCCATGCCAACTGTTTTAAAGAAGTTTGTTTTCTTCATGAGTTCTGGCTTTTTGTCGAGTTCAACGAGTAAGTGTATGTCCTCAGTTTTTATGAGTCCATTCTCAATTGGAATTGCCAAGTCCCCAGTCTCTTCCTTTGCAAAAGGTAGTTCAATAAAAACAGCGGTGTCTTCTCCAAATATTGCGTCAGGAAATTCTCTGCACGTTGGTTGATACGATCCAACGCCGATTATAGTCTTTCCATGAAAGAGAGTCTTGTCGTTATCGAATATTGGAGTGTTTGAAGTCGTTGCAGTGATAACTATTTCGGACTGTGAAATGAGTTCCTTTGTATCTTTGCACACCACAAAAGTGATTTTCTCTTCTATTTTGTACTCACAAAGTGCCTTCTTCACTCTTTCAATGAAGTTTGTCAAGTCTTTTGCATATGCGTCATACAAATAGACCCTTTCAATGGGTCTTACACAACATGTGTAAATAAGTTGGTAAAAGCCTTGAGCACCACACCCAGCAATACCAACACTCTTTGCATTTTTTGGAGCTAGATAGTCCACTGCAAGTCCGCCAACCGCACCAGTTCTTAAAGACGTCAAAGCACTTCCGTCGATAATTGCAAGTGGCTTTCCAGTGGTGAAGTCATTGACTGTCATTAATCCAAATATGCTTGGAAGACCAAGTTTGATGTTAGAAGGCGTCACTGTTAGCAATTTTGTTCCAGATGCTGTATTAGTCAAAGCGGGCATGGAGAGGACAGTGCGCTCTTTGTAAGTGGCTGATAAACGTTCTGGCATTAAGTATTCTCCAGATTCTAAGACAAGCATTGCTTCTTTGACTTTGGCCATAGTCCGTTTTAAATCGCCGAGTTTAAAAACGTCCTCTTTGTTAATAAAAAGAAGTGTTTCTTGTTGTGACATGAAATTGTTTTTTCGAGATGGGGTGAGAATTAATCAGAAACTTATTGTTATTTGTATTAATATAATGGGTTCTGTTTTAAATGTATTCAGACCTATATTTCGGGAAGTAATGTTCACTTTTTGATCTATTTTTATCTGTTCTAATCAAATTAATTTGTTACCTAAATTATAATAAAAATTTTTAATAAAAATTTAATTTGAGTATTAAATAACTATAATAATAAACCATAATACTTTTATTAGTTTGAATACAATTAAAACTTTAGTAAAGTTGTTTGGAAAACAAATATTTAAATAGTTATATTATTATTAAAATAATTATTAATTAATAATAATTATTATAATTATTGATTATTACTAACTAATAATAAATAAAAGCAATAAAAAAAAGAATGGGATAATTTTATAACCGAAAATATATGATTTATGATAAAATCATCTATTTATATAATAATCGAGATGATATAAAAATATATGATATTTATAATATATAATATTATAAATATCATATATATATTATATATTATAATTAATTTAACAAATGAAAGTAAATGATAATATTAACAGTGATTATCAACTGTTAACATATACAGTTATGATAAAAACCAGTGCAACTTAAGCAAAAATGGGGTTACTGAGTTAAATAATTCTAAAAAAAGAAGAATAACATTATTTCTAAAATGTTTTAAGATTAATTATAAAATTATTAAGAAACTTACATTAATTATGTTATTGTTTTATTGTTTTATTGTTTTGTTTATTATAAAAGAAGAATTAAAAACAATAAAAAATTAACAAAGCTATTCATTTACAAATTAAACTAACAACAATCATGATATTGTTGAACGCGGAACATTTGGGGTTAGTCCAAAATTGTTACTGACAGCAAAGGAGTGGGTTTGATATTAAAAGTCCGAAAAATAAAAGTACTATTATGCGTATGTGTTTCTTGGACAATTTCTATGTTATGAATTGAATAGAAAGGTCAGCGGACAAGTGTGTGGCTATAAACGAAAAATAATTCATTCAACCCGACGACTAAGGCTTTAGGTAAAGCTGGAATGATTTTGAAGATCAATAAATTCTTAAATAACCCAGTTTTTCTTGTGGAATGTCAGACTTTAAAAACCTAGTTTTCGTGCACCTTTTTTTCATTTGTATAGTTCAATTGTTTGTAACTTTTTAATCCTGTTTTTTGCCTGTTATTTCCTTCTTGTTTATGATTAGTTAAAATGTTTTTTTTTCAAAAAATGCATAATATCAATCATTTATAAAGGTAAAAATGTTGTTTTGGGAAGACCATCTTTTATCAATTGAGAATTTAAATGCCATAATTTGAACAAAACAAAAAAATCGCTTAGATGTGTTTACTTTTTATCGAAAAACTTAATTGTCATTTCTTTCGCCAAAATGATACCATCTTTTTTACTAACACTTGATAATAAAAATACCACAAATTTTAATTAATTTTTTTGTTTGGTTTTTTAGTCTTCTAGTATTCGAAGTGTTGATTGACCACATATTAAACGTGATTTGTTGTTCAAATAAACAAACAATGAAAGACTAATCATGTTGGTCTGAATCAGTAATTGGAAATATTGTTCTGTTATAGAAAAAATCAACATAATATAAATCGAAAATCGAGCTCACAAAAGAAACGATATCATGGAGAAATCAATATACAATAGAATGACAAGACAATTTTCATCTTAGTGTTATTGTAAAAAATTATGAGTTAAACAAAAAAATAAAGCAAAAGTCCTATTATTTAGATAAGTCTTGAAATTATCAAATCTCTATCTTCTCGACTTAACAAGCTTTGGCTGTTAGAAATGTTCTGGCTGTTACGAACAACTGATTTTCTCTCTTTTTGTCGTCTCCGTTCTGGTGGACGTTGTTGAACTCGCCTCATTTCACTGAATCTCGCATCTTCGCTTCTAATTGGATTACGTTCTGGTCCGAACACAGGATGAGATATGTGCTCCACCATTGGAATCAAAACACATTTGTTTAAATCCTCTTCTGCAACCGGAGACCCAAAAATTCCTGGATATGCCCGACACACAATTCTCGCCTTTTGTGGGACAATGATTGTCTCTTTTTTGATGGACAGTTTATGTCTGTCTTGTAAGTGATACCACATTGCCGGAAAGCAGAGACAACGTTTTGTCTCGTTGTTGCCGCCTGAAATGCAGACAACATTGAGATGAGTCTATTCACAAGACAAATTCCTCTTTTCTCTCTTACCTTCTTTGTAATTGTTTCTCCTTCCACTTCATCTAATTCTTCCTCCTCCACCACTTCCTCCATATTAAGTTGTTCCTCAAATACATTTTCCGTGCTTTTATTTTCAACGTTATATTCATCTTTGACTACTTGAGTCACATACTCACAGTACCGTCTTAGTTGGTTCTTACAAGAACCAAAGACACCCACGTCAAGACTTTGCGTCATATGGCTTGAGTGAGGAACAAGAAAGATCAACTCAATGTTATTTTCTTCGCATATTACTCTTAGGTCTTCGTTGACGTGACAACTGCATCCATCTATGATAAAAGCCGCTTTTTCATTAAAGTCACCGATTGTTTGACGAAGTTCATTGCGTTTTTTGATTATGTAAGTTAGAACGACATCTCGAAACCACGCCAAAAATATGTCAGTGCTTATAAAGCCATTCTTCGTGTTGTATATTTTTATCGAAGAGTCGTCATATCTGTTGTCATATAATACAACATTCACTGTTTTGTTTGGCACAACAGTTCCTGGAGTCAACACATCACCACTCAACGCTATGCATCCTATCAGTGTTGTTCTTCTCCCTGCTCTGCTTAGTCCAATTTTAAGTGTTCTGTGCATTCTTTGTTCTCCCTTGTTGACGTACACTTTCACGGCTTTTCTGTCTGTGAATGGTTGTGTTCCCATCTCATCTTCATTTAAAACAAGTGCTGGATGAAGACCAACTATTCTTTGTAGAGTAACATTGTAAAATTCTTTGATATCTTTTTCTTCCACTTTCACTCTGAAATTTTCGTCGGGTATTCCTAAAACGTATTCAAACAGTGTCAATCGCATTATGTATCTATGGAGATTTGATTTTGACACCATCATTTGCAATTCATTGGTGCAAAATTGGAATACATGAAGACTTGTTACTGCTAAACCGACTTTCCTGTGACCAAAAATGTATTTTACAATTGATTCGCGGTTGCTTCTAATTTCACTTGGCCTTCCCGGCTCAAGTACCATTTTGTGCACAATCGCGGGAAATTTCATCTTTTCTTTTGAAAGAGTATGTTTGCCAATGTTGAACAATTCACAAACCGTGTTTTCCCAAAGTTTTAGGGATTTGAACACCTCAATACATATACCAATTTGGTATGTCCGATTTTTATTCTCGAGGTCTGGATACCTTTTTATTATTTCTTCAAGCAAAAATTTGGATTGAATAAATGATGCCGCTTCGAAAAAATCTTCATATTTATCAGACATGGGGTCGCCAAGTGTTCTTTGCTCTATGTTATCTTCCATTTCTTTGAAATCCAATCCCTTCATTTTTTCGTGATACTCGGAAGCCATTTATTTGTTTGATTAAAAAGAAAAAACTAGTGCTTTTTAATACAAGCACATATAAAAATCATTATAGTATTACAACTAAGGAGAAAATAAGGATTTTATTATATTTTAAAAGTATAAATTACTTTTAACTTTAACAATTGTTCATAACAAAAAAATAGTGGTCGAGTGTAATATTGAAGAAATATATTGTTGTTGTACATTTAAAAACCGCTATAAAAACCATTTTTTATTTTAAAGTTTGCACCAAAAAAACATTTGTTATTGATTACGCGATATTGTGAAAAATGAAAGAAAGGTGCATCGAAAGGGTTTTTGTTTTATTGAAAAAGAATCTTTTTATAAAATCCACCGTCTTCTTTGTTCACTATTTGAAACTTATGGTTTGAAAATGAATAAACTTGTGATTTTCGTGTTGTTTTTAATAATATTTTTTCACCAAAAAAAACTATTGAGATTGTCCAAAAAATAAAAAATGTACAAAGAAAAAACAAAAAAAAAATATAAAAGAGTTGCGCCATGAAGAAAAAAAAATAGTTTTATTTTTAGGATTCCTTGTTTTTTTACTCAGTCACCCCATTTTTGCAAAAGTTGCACAGGTTTTGTCTAAAACTGTAATTATTATAAATTGTTAACGCAAAAATAACACATAATTCTGCGTAGCTTAGTTGTTATTCAGTTGAATAATCAATATTCATTCACGATATGTTTTTTTCTGTTTGAGTGACAGCCTATCTTGATTCTTTTCATATTTCGTTTCTTAAATGTTGAAAATGAAAAGATTAAAGGTGATGGTCGTTCACGATTTAAGTTTCTCAACCCACTTCTTGTGTTTTTCATGTAGTTTTCTAAATATATGAAACTGGGACTAGCCACAAAAAGACAAGATGGTTGGTTAAGGCGCAGAAAGACAAGAAGAAATTAAGGTACTATTCCAATATTAAAGTTATAAACTGTTTATTTGTTTCAATCTTTATTAAATAATAATTAAGTTATTTTTGTCTTTGTAAATTATTAATTCATTTACCCAAAAATACTTTAATATATATATTATTAATATAATATATTACTCAACAAAAAAATCAAGTATTTATTGATTGTTATATTAAATAAAACTTATTTGAAATGTAAAAAAAATTAAATTATTTGAATTATTTGAATAATTTATCATTTTTTATTTTTTTTAATTGGACAATTTAATTCACTTTTTACCAGTATCACAACTATCTTATAATGTATTATAAAACACTAATTATTTGGAAATTATTTTATTTATATGATAATTACTATTTTTGTTTTTGCAAACAATACCAATATTTTGTGATAAATTGGGGTTTTAATTTGTTTTTTTTTTGAATTCTATTTCTTTTGAGTGTTGGTATTATTTAGAAGAATATGCCGATACTGTTTTCACTATATATGTATAAACACAATAACCCGTTTGTTAGGATATAGTGATATATAATATAAAAAAAATGAGACTCGCTCAAAATTGTGTTTTACAATCAATGAAAAATATTTTAAAAATATTTTGTTTAATTAAACGGGACTTAAACTTTCAGACCGACAAAATAAAAAATAACTAATACTTTTGGTATAGATTGAATGGTAACACTTCGACTGTTTTTGTTTGACTTCTTTCTTATGTAAACTTACAATTAACAATCCCTAATTCTATGGGAAATTGCATTTTTTTTATGGAAATAATTACTTCTTTTACAAACAGTTTTAAATTGAAAAAACAGAAAATTTCGAACCAAATAAAATGCTTTCATTTTCCATGAAGATGACCTAAATTTGAAGGTCTTATCACCACATATTTTTTCTTTTTTTACCAAAAATAGACACTTGTTACAGAATTCATAAAATATCACAAGAAAGTGAGATTTGCGCCAAACTGTGTCTTATAATTACTTCACATTATTTTTATGTTTATTCCTGAATTGACACTGAAAAGTGGCGTAGAAAAAAGAAAACCAACTTCATTTTTTAGACGAAGGCAAATGAAGACAAACAAAAACTTTTGCCGAATCACAACAGTTTTGAGAGAAAAGAGCAAACTTCATTAATAAACGCACCTTCTTAATCGAGTCAGAAATGGATGTATTCTGACTATATTATCGGGTATAGTCGTATGTTGTATAATGCCAAAAACTCAAAAAGGAAGCATATATGTATAGAAAAAAGCAGTTTAAAAAAAAACTCATAAATACCCTAGAATTTGATATTCACACGTTATGGAACCAACACACTTTAAATCAACAAGCTTCCGTCTAGCGAGATCATTGACATCATCTCCTGCAGTCACAACAAAGTCCAAACGGTGTGATAGTGACTCGTGCTTTGCCAAACTGAACAACACAAAGTTCATCAATTTCGACCCCAACAAAGAGATATTTAACATCTTGAACCCGGGGTCGTCGAGTGAAACGGTCACAAAAAGTCCAATTATCCGCGATGATATTGAAGATCTTAGTACAGACTTCCCACAATCACAGCGATCCAACCCCATGCAGAACGACCCGTTTTTCTTTTAAGCCTGTTCTTAGCCCGCTGAGAGCGAGCTCTCTTGTTTGTCTAGTGTTATTCGAATTTTTATTGTATTTCTTTTCTATCCACAACTTCTTAAAGTAGATGCTTGTCGAGTGGTGTTTTTGTTTTTCAAAATCATGTTTATTTTGTGACTATTTAAATGCTGCGCGTCTCAATCGTATGAAATTTTTATGACAAAATAATATTCAAGTCATTGTCTGAAACGTACAGATGTGAAAATAGCACACAACAAACCGTGTTTGAAACACCAGAAAGTGAGTCTATTTTAAATTATTTTTAAAATAAGACTTTCATTTAAACAAATAACAAGTCTAATTTTCATTTTTTGGCTTCAATTATTTGTTTTAAATTAATAAAATAACGTGTTGAATTCTTGGAAAAACAAGATGAAAATAAAACTAACTGTTCTTATTTGAAATGCAAAATGTGAAAGTGTTTGAATATTTCTTTGAAATATTTTATGATAAGAAATGAATTTTATCGACTTGTTGTTTTATACAACACTAAAACAATAAATCGATAAAAAAAAATAAAACGTTATTTTAATTTTTGAATTAAAAATATAGTTCAATTTGTTTGATTAATAATTTCTTGAACTTTAATTTTTTATTATTTCTCAGTTTTAATATTTCTTTTCAGTGAAATAAGTATAAATAATTAATAGACTAACTATTAAAAATCATAACACATTTCTTAGCATTGTTATTAAAGGGTGTTTTCCAAATTTTTTATAGTTATTTGTCAAAACAAAATGTTATATTTATTAGTTTGAATAATTAATAAATTATTAAATATATTTTTTTTATTTTTATTATTTTTAATAAACATTTTTTCAAACACAAAACATTTTAATAGTTAAATGTTATATAAAACATTATTTTACCACTTTTTTATTAATTGTTTTTAACCGAACTTAAAAAATCTAACTATAAAATAGAAAGGGAAATGGTTTGTTATTAATCCCACAAATAACTTGACAACACAATGAACTCACTCAAAGACGATATACTCTGTTGCGATTATTTCTCGTGGGGGAGTTGTTCTTACCTCAATACAGAATAGTCCGTTAAGGCATTTTGAATCGACTGTTTCACAGTTTTCGCACCTCGACAAAGATCCGAAGGTGACGTATATTTTATCGGAAAAAGTGAAGTACGTCTATCGCGCGGTCGAGGACGTCTATATCATCCTCATCACTTCTCTCAACTCAAACATCATCAGCGATTTGTCTGTGCTTCAGTCAATCATAGCCGTTCTCTCCCAACGTCTCGACGGCATTTCCGAGTCTAAGATATGTTCTTCTGTCTTTGAAACGACAAGTATCATCACGGAGTTTTGCAACTTCGATGGAACGTGCGAGACTTTGACGCCTTCAGACATTGAATTGAATTTGGCAATGCAGAGTGTGGATGAGGAGAATTACCTCCAAGAGCTCAAGCAGAAAAAAGAGGAAGCAAAGAAACTTGCCGATCAGCGTGCGGCAGAGCTTCAAGCCGAGAAAAAGCTCAAAGAAAAAATGGAGAAAGAGAAGGAAAAAGAACAGAAAGTTGCTGAAGAGAAACTCCTTGAGATACAACGTCTTCAAGAGGAACAAAATGCAAAGATCATTGAAGAGGAGGAGGCCCAGAAACGAGCTGAAAAACACCGAAGGAGTGAAGTCAAGACTCGACGAGGTGGGATAACTCTTGGGAAAGCAAAAACTGTTGCAGTTGAAGAAGACGAGGATGCCTTTGACGCTAATTTCTGATTTATTTAGTCTCACTCTTTCGCGTTCTTTCAATTGAGTCTGATGTTCTTTCATTGCGCAGTCAGTTATTAAAGTAATACCAAGAGCTGAAATCAATTAAAAATGACTTATAAACTATATACATAATTCCACAGAAACACCGTTTTTTTGTGTTAAGATATGGCGACAAGTTAACACGCTGAGTAACAAGGGGATAAGTTGTAAATAATTTACAAATTACTATCAACAAATGGAAGCGTGAATGTGAATTGCGTTGTGGGAAGGTCGTTGAGTCTCGAGAATATGGTTTGCGTCCGACGTTTGGGTTCGGTCTGAGGAGTGGTCTGCAGCGTTTGAAACTCGTCGCAACCAAAGGAGGGTGCCGAGAAGACGGACTTGATAGGATTAGAGTCACGAGGTGGCACTATAAGGTCGTAGTGTATAACACTGTCTTCTGAGTCTTCTGACATCGAGTCAAACCCTTCCATTGGTTGGTCTTCGAAAAGAAAGTCGCTCGACTCCTCGTCTGTTCTTTTTGTTATTCAAAATGTCATTTGAAACAAACACAAAAGTGATGGGTTCTTAACAAGAACCGTAACAACAAGACAAAAAACTGAACAAACAAGTCAGCCAAAACGTGTTGAGGGAGTGGTTTAAACGTTGTGTTATTATCAATCGGATTCATCGGTTTAAATTGAGTTTTTTTTATTTCGCTGTTTTATAGTTGTGTTCTCTTTCCTTCGTTTGGTTTTCATTTTAAGGAAAACTTAATGATTTTAATAACAATATCTTAGGTATTTGTACCCTCATTCACATATTTTTTTTAATTTTTTTAATTCCTGTTTTTTGGTCTTTGTTTAATGATAATAACCCGCAAATGTCCTGATAAAATGGCTGTTGTATCAAGAAATAATATAATCATCAAAAATACACGTGGACTTCGTTAGTTTTTTCAAGCTAACTTTTACTATAAAAAGTAATTAGAAAAAATCAAGTTGTTTGGTTAAAAAAGATGTGAAACGGCATAGTTTCGAGAACTATAATTATACCTTGAACCAACACGTGGTAACATGTTGATTTTTCTGAAATTTTTAAATAAACACGTGTTTTGCATTTCCTCTTATTTTCAACTTTGATTTTGCACTTTTTTTGCAGTCTTTGCTTGTTTAATGAGTGACACACATTATCATGTTGTCAAAATAGCACTTTTCCTCCTTTTTTATCTTCAAAACGCACTAATTTCTGGGATGACCTCAATTAATCCAAATAGATGCCATTTGAATTCCTCTATCTAAAAAATTAAAAACCTCAAAAATGTGGGATGAGAAAGTGTAAATTACTGCTTTGGGAAAGAGTCACATAAATCGATCAGATGCTTATTGTAGAACGAGCTTCCTATGCACTTCCGCAAGAATATAGAAAGGTCTATTTCTGGCGCTTTTGCCGCAATACAACAGAAGCATTTGATACTGATATGGGACGAGACAATGTCGAATATCTGGTCACGGACACTTTTGTCAAATCCAAGGGCTTCTACAGCAATTTGTTCGAGCGCCTTCTGATTTTCAAAAAATTCTTTCACAAACCCCACAACACACCCCTTGTAGTTCGCGTCCAAAAACTTGACAAACTCCCCACATTTCTCTTTGCGATAACCATACTTCTTCACAAAAATGAGTTCCTTTCTTTCAGTCTCAAAGTCGCATTTGAGTTCAGTCTGAGTCAACAATGATATCAACTTTTTGATGTACAAGTTCTTTGTCAATTCCTCAGGTATCCAATTCGGCACTTCAACGCATGTCTGCTCGTGTATCCTCTCAAACGACAACTTGTAATTTTTGTCAATCTCTTTGTGTGTGGGGTATTCCAATTTCGATTTAACCAACTTACAATACACGTCGAGCAACTCTCTCCCATACATCCCCTTCTCTTTGAACAGTTTTTCATATGCAGCAAGTTCAATTAAGTCGCTTTCTGGCGTCGCATTAACGTACTTTTCCGTGAGTGACACATCGTTCTGAAGTAAAGCAACAAAGAGGAGTGGTCTAGTGTTCTCAATGAAACTCATGATCGGTTGCTTTTCAACGTGGTTCCCACTAGTTTTAAACATCGTCGATTTGAACTTATTGAATACCTCAAACTCAAGCATCTTACTTGATCGAGTGTTCAACTCTTTGTACAAATCAATTTCTTTTGCTTTCTCAGGTTCTTCTTGTAACATCAAAACATATTGCGCAAAGATACAACACGCTTCCAAGAAGTACATGTCTTCTTGTTCTTTTGTTCCTTTTCTTTTGGTCGACAAAATCTGTTTGATATTTTCTCGTTGTTTAAGAAGTTCGTTTTTGGTATTGAGTTCCGAGGCATATTGAAGGAAAACAGGCTGAATGGCAACCTCTATGAATTTTTCCGGCTCGTTCTCAAGAAGTTTGAATACCTTTCCTCGTTGCGTGACCATCAACGCAGCTCCTTTCTCTTTGTTTGCATTGAAAAAGACTTCGTCAAAGTACAAGTTGATGCAACTCTTCACTTCACACACTATAAATTTGTCAACCACTCGGCTAAACTCGGTGTTTGCTTTCGAAAAGTAATACGCCGCCAACTGCCCATTCTTCGAGTCTAAAAGTTCTTCAGCAATAATTGAATATAGTTGTTGCAATGTACCTTTCACAACAAGGGCTTCGTCATTCATCACGTCTCGCCAATACAAGTCCGTCCAATTGTTATTTCTTCTTCTTATAAAGTGTCTAATATCGCTCAAATAAGCTTCCAAGATGACGCTCAGCTCATAGTACGTCTTGTATGATATCGCAGCCTGTATTGCTCTTGTGTCGTTGTTTCTCTTCAAGTCGGAAACTGTGCGCTCCATGTCTCCTTTAATTTCTTGGCACAGACGGACAACAAGTGGTTCGAATATATAAACCTCATTTGAAGCACTATCACCATCATCTTTCGCAATGCTCCTTACTACAATCACTTTGTGATTCACAACAACCAAGTCAGTGATTCCAGGAAGAAAAATGCGTGACATACAAGGGAGGTCACTTGTTGCATCGCCTTGTCTATACTCATTGATCACACCCATCTCAACTTCGTATGTGTTGCTGAAGTACTTTCTGAGTGGGTAGACATCTACAACAGTCATTCCCATAATGTCATGAACACAGAGCACATGGCATGGGGTCGCAACAAACTTCCCTCGTTTCTCTTCTTTGCCTTTCCCAAAGTCCACACACGATATCATCGTAATTTTAACATCACAGTTTGTGTATGATATGTAGTATACCTCGAGCTTGAATTTGGACCCTAACACCACTCGTACACCTTCTTCCCTTTCTTCAACTCTTTGTGGGATGAACACCATCGTTTCAAGTTCAACAACACGTTCTTGCATGAGTGTGATAGCGTGTGTTATATGCTTCTCGCCATAGACTTCAACGTCGAGATCAACGGCATTCCACCTAAACTGAGTGTTTGGAATGATCGCATCACCCAAATTGTCAAAGAATTCTCGTCGCGACACTATTTTAAGATCCATCACAGTGACGATGTGGTCAACGTAATTGATGATGAAGTCCCGGTGTATTTTGATCACACCAGCCTTACAGTGGATTTTTGCAATCAGCTTTATATCGTCCTCAACACTGTATATCAATATCCCAACGTTTTCTACACTCACAGCAATTCGCATGTCGTGACACGCAATTGAGTTGATCCGATTGCCGACTTCTATGACTTCGCTTTTGCCGTTAGTTTCGATGTCGCGATAAACAACAAGTCTGTTTGTTAATGGGTCGTTGTTGACACTCTCGACAGTGATAATGTGCCCAGGAGAGAGGTAACAGTACTCGTCGACTTTACCATAAACACTTTCGAATGAAACTGGGATGTATAAGTATGTGCTCGTCGTCTCAATCCGTATTGTGCTGTAGTTGTTGTGGTTCACTTTAATTGCCATTTTGTCATCACCAAAATTGATGATCGAGTCAAATTGCGAACTCTCCAACTGCTCGAGCTGTCGGTATTCGAAAAAATGAAAGACGTTATTTGTCGTGCTCTTTACTCGTTGGCTTTGCATAAAACAAAGTTTTTTCAGTTTTTTTTTTGTTGGTGTTGATAGTCGATTTTTCCAAAAGATAAATTTTCATAGGGTCAAGTATCTTTTTAATTCCAAAAGTTGGGAATAAAACTTGGAATTAAAACGAATTTGAAAAATTCGTTTTAAAAGATTTTATTAAAGACCATTATTTTTTAAAAAATTTTTCTGACAAAAATTGTATTAAAATTTGTTATTTAATTGGTCTTTGAATAAAAAATTAAAATTAAATTAATAAAAAAATATTATAAATTAAACTATTATAGTTATGATAAAAACCCGTGCAACTAGGGGACCTACATTGACCACCACCACCTCTTAAAATAGATTTATTTTTTCTATTTCGAATCATATTCAAATTAAAATTATAGTAAATAGGAAACTGGGATAATATTAGGTCTGGTTCCCGAATTCAAAAAATGCCGAAAATTCACCTCGAGTTAGTGGAAACTGAGTGAGACAGAGCATTGAAAAGAAGGCTCATAAAGACGCACTCAAACAGTCTGTTTGTGCACCGTTTCACCCACTTTCCAAGTCCTCCCTTGGCGCGGATCACCCCCTGACCCCCCCGCAAGCGGGGGGGAACCACATCCGCGTCCACACAGTACGGACAAGGAAAGTGGGTGACATGGGGACGCACAAACAGTGGCTGAAAAGTGGACTCCTTTTAAAAAACACTCGCGGCAAATATTTTTTTTTGGTAAAGGTGGTGGTGGTGGTCAATGTAGGTCCTGTGCAACTAGGGGTGACCGAGAAAAATAATTCTAAAAATAAAAGAATAACATTATTTTCGAAAATGTTTGATATAAAAAAACATTCAAAAATTTTATTTATTTTGTCATTTCTTTATTATTTATTATAAAAGAAGAATAAAAACTTAAAGAATAACAACGCAATTCATTTACAATAAGCAAACAATATCGAAATAAATTTCTTCAAAAAAATTCCTCATTTCTTTTATCTGTTGCCTTCTTCATTATAGTTACATCTTACATTTTCTGCATTTGGTTCTCCTCGACCACTTTATATTAAGTAGTTCCTCAAATTCAATTTCCATGCCTTTATCCTCAACATTATATTCTTCAACTTCTTGAATCATATACTCGCAGAACCATCATGGTTGATTTTTACAAAAACCAAAGACGCCGACATCATATCCATTGTGATACTATGCAACATTTACAGTCTAGTTTAAATTATATTTTTTGCTTAGATACATCTCCAATTATAATTATGCATCTTATTGTTGTGGTTAATTTTTCTGCTCTGCTTAGTCCTATTTATAGTGTATCAAATATTCTTTATTCTCCTTTTTTATTGTACACATTTACAGCCTATCCGTCTGTAAATAATCATGTTCCCATCTAATCTTCAATCAAAACAATCACTGAATAAAATCTACAATTTAATTTTTTAGTTTGAACTCATAATATTTTGGTATAAATTCTGCCAAACCATGAAAATGGAGGGGAAGTGGACAGAATATGGTTTTGTTAACAAAAAGATAATTTTAGGGCAATCGATAGTCTTCTTTGTTCATCAATTGAACAATTTGTTTTGAAAATGAATCAACTTTGATTATAGTGTTTTTTAAAAACTAACTTTTATATTATTTTTACTAAAAAAATATTGAGATTGTCCAAAAAATCGATAAAATATGCAAAGAAAAAAACAAAAAATAAACGAGTTGAATAATCAAAACAAAAAAATATTTTCATTTTTAGGATCACCTCTTTTTTACTCATACAGTTAGTTTCACAATAATTACTTATTTTTCATAACAAATAGATTTTTGTTTCATAACAATTGGATTTGTACATTTGTTCAGCCCTGTTTCAAAACAATTATTTTTTTTTGCACAATTTGCGTGATTGTTGCATAATTAGCAGTATTGTTGCATAATAATATCGGGTGTTTCAGAACTATTTATTTATCCTCAAATCAATATTTTATTGTTCCAAAACTAAGAGTTGTTTCATAATTATTGTCTTTTGTTTTAAAATAATATAGGATTATTGTATAATTGCTTTGTATTGTTTCAAAACAAAAATCAACAAAAATAACCAAAATAAATTTCAAAAAATATAAAAATATGAACGTAAATTACAGTAATGGCCATCACTTCTTTTGAGTTCATCCACCGAGATGAAGTCGATGGATTCCTCAACCACGAAGAGGTTTCCCCAATTGTAAAAGCACTACAACCAGTGGAAATAACAGAAAGAAGATGGTAAAAGGACATCTCGTAACTCGGACAATTGGTAATTTCAACATAAAGTTCAAAAAATATATTTTTCGATGTTTTTTATTAATTTTTTTTCTCGGCAAAAAATATTTAAGTATCCATTAAAAATAAAAAAGCCAAAATTGTTATTCAGAAAAAGTTCATAAATTTTTACGTGTTTTTTTAAATTCACAGCATAAAAAATTATAATATAATTATCATTTAACAATTAAAACCAAATAATATTAAATTGTTAATTTTAATTATTTATCAATACAAAAAACTAATAATTATTTCATAATCAAATGTCTCAAAACCCTTCCGAAAACGACAGTAATTTTAATGAAAACTTTCCAACTGTGGGTCCTGTTCATATACTATCTCAAAGAAAAAGGATATGATTATATACGAAAATCACTGCTTTAAATAAATAAGGGAAGGGTACTATTCATGTGTTGCACCTAAGTGCAAAGTCCATTTAATTGGATAAACTGATGATTCTCTTCATTACGGTAAAACGACTCAACACATCGATGCCGAACAAAGTTTCAAGAAGAAGCTTTATCAGAATCGAATAAAGAAAGAACTATCACTCAATATAAATCTCAAGAAAATGACACCAAGAACTTTATTGATTCATTTCAAGAGAGGATCAATATCTACTTCAGACGCCACACTTAACAAATTTATCAAAAGAAACATTGATCGCCCACCAAATCCCAATACAATTGAAGAGATTGTTGTTAATAATTACACCAACATTTTATATCATAACAATAAAAACACCACTCTTCTTTTTGGTGATATGGAACAATTGAAGCTACTTTTATCTGCAAAAATGATATGGATGGAACGTTTTTAGCATGTCCCACACTTTACTCTCAACTGTATTCGATTCATGTGGTTTTACCCAATGATTAACACTTTCCGGTTGCTCATGTTCTGATGAATGAACGTTCTGAAACATCATATACTCAATTGTTCATATCTCTGGAAAATTTACTTGGACAATCCCCTTTCAAAAGAGCAGTCTTGATAATGTCTGATTTTGAAAAAGGTTTAATTGCGTCACTTTCTAATTTTGTAAATTTTGGACTCGTACACAAAGGATGTCTTTATCACCAGAGACAAGCAGTAATTAAGAAAACAAGAAAATTTGGTTTGATCACCACATACAACAACCATGGTGTGTTGTTTGAAGCCGTCCAATTAATGTTCGGTTTGAGCTTTTTAAAACCCAACGAAGTAAGAGAAGCGTTTGATATTTTGAAGGTATGGTATGGCAGTTGTAAAGAAGTCGTTCAAATATTTGAATATTTTCAAAACATGTGGATTTGTGGCAGTTTTCCTTTGATGATGTGGAATCAAAGAGGTGCTTTGATTCGAACAAACAACATTTGTGAATCATACCACTCTGGACTGAACAAACGTTGTGGAGGACAAAAGCCGTCTTTCAACAAATACGTCGAAATCAATGGAGAAATAATTGAAGAAACTCGAAAAGATATTCAAAAAATGAAAATTGGAATTCGTCAACCGACAATAAAATGGGTAGCGTGTTCAACAGAAAGACTTAATAATATTGTAGATGATTACGAAAAGAAAGTTGTAACACTTTATGAATGTTTGAAAAACATCGCTGGTGTTTTTGAAGATCACAAGGCAAATAATATGATTGATGATGAGCAAACAAGCGAAGAATAAAAATATAGTTATTTAAGCAATATATTTTTTAATTGTTTTTAATAATAAATTGGTAATTTGATTGTAAAATAAATTTATTAAATAATATTATTATTTAATAAACAGAATA